CCACGTCCAGGCCCCCGGTGAAGGCGGGGCCCCGTTCCGCGCACGTCACAGTGGACCCCGGGACCCACACCGGGACCCCCGGCTCCTCGTCAGGGCGGAAAACCTCGGCTTTCCACGCCGGGCGCCCCGGGCGGCCTGCTCGGGAGGTTTGACATGAGCAGCTGAGAAGCTGGGCTCCACCCGGAAGCGGAAGTGACCCCGGAGGAAGCAACACCTGACAGGGACCGGGCGGCCCTCAGACCCCGCGGTGGGCGGGCGGGGAAGGGGTCCCCGTCTCTTTCCCAGCACTCGCCCCGAACCCCCTCCTCACGCCCGCCCGGCGCAGGCAGCGGTCACAGGACAGCCATGGCCTCCCGTCGCCCCCCATGGCGCCTTCAGACTCCAGTGGGGACCCCCCCGCTTGAATTTTTAGGTGGCAACGGGGGTCACAGCCACCTGTTCGCGTGGACGGGACGCTGGGCTGAGGCTGGACCGCCGGTGGCCGCTCTGCGGGACCCCACACAGTCCTGTAACACGGATGGGGTTGGTGGTCTTAGACACCTGACTCGGACGGACATTTTCTCGGAAATTGGAGCAGGACCCTTCCCGGAAATAGCTTCCCTGTTGGAAAACCATCGACTCCACGAAGGCATGTTCTACCCCCGAGTCTCCGGATTCATGAAGAACTCAGAGTAAACTTGGAGGCCCTGGAAAGACGACCTTTTGAGATTGGGAAAAAATAAATTTAAAAAAGATGATGTTTATGAGAAGTTAGTCAAGACTCTGAGCTCCCCGGGTTCTCAGGCTGGAAGGAGGCCGAGGAAGCCCAGTGCCCGTTGGGACACTCAGCTCTGTTGTCCTCCTGTCTTAACTCTGCCCCCAGGGACCGTGGGGGTCGCCCCGGATGTGTGTGTTCCCCGAGACAGACCCGAGTTCCTGCTAAGGTTCAGAGGGCACTGCCCCTGGGTTCCGCAGAGCCTGAATTACCAGATAGTTGACGCCTGCAAAGGTCCCTGTTGGTATATTAACTTTCAACAACCTTCCGACTATTGATTGCGTGGGTATGGCCTGTACAAAATTCAATTTTGGCCCAAAAGGGGGAAAAATGGTTTGTCATGATGTATCGGGCCCGTGGCAGCATGGGGGACACGCTTCAAGAATATAAGGTTTACAGCTTTCATCAAGGACACACGCATGTAGTGGTCGCTCCTGATAAGGCTCAAACAGCATTGAGAAAAGTAAGAGGATGCAAGGGGGGGGGGGGGGGTTGGGGGCGGGAGGATGGCATTGCTACCTAAATGCAATATGGATAGCCCAGGTTTTCTGTTTTTTTTACATGACCAAGAAGGATCTAAGTAGGATTCTGAGTTAAGGCATCATGTACACGCTAATCACACTCCCCCATTTTCTCCCCACCCTTCTGATTGCAGCCCATCTTTCAAAGACGGAGCAAGCTCACTTGGGACGTCCTCCGGGAGCCTTTGCTGACCGCCAGCCTCCCAGCCCTCATGGTGAGTATCCCCGACGCAGGCCTCCAGCGGCGAAGGCTGCTTGTCGTGTGGTTTCCTAACTTGCTAAGACGCCTTCTTCAAGTCATCAAAGAGGAGCCTTTCTAGACCTCCGTCCCCCTGATTGGCCTTGCCCTCTTCGTCCTTCTGGAAAAGACGGAGATGGGTTTAGGAAACAAAGGTTGAAGTTGTCTTTCAGGAACAAGACATGGGATGTATGCTTAGGTATTTGATTCATTTAGCTTCAGGTCTGTACTGTTTTAACAGGTCTTTCTGTGAGCAGTCCTGTGCTAGGTTCCAAACGGGAGGCGACTTCTTGTCCTAGGGATGTTCAAACACCTGCAGGTGCATCCCCCCTCTGTCAGGGATGTCCAATCAGTTACAGAGCAGATAGTTGACATGATTGACCTCTAAGGATTCCCAACTATAATATGTCCGTGAACAATGCACCCATGAGACTCCCAACTAGTGTATAAATTCTTTGAAGCCGGATCTGTGTATGGTTCACCTAAGCCAGTGTTATTTAGACCCATTTTTGAGTCATAAAATCAATGTGTTCATCCATAATTACAATTTTAAAAAATGAAATGAACCCAACTGTTGTGGCTCAGTGGTTGAGCATTGACCTATGAACCAGGAGGTCGCGGTTTGATTCCCCATCAGGGCATGATTCCCCATCAGGGCACATGCCCCAGCTGAGGGCTCCATCCCCAGTAGGGGGCATGCGGAAGGTCGATCAATGATTCCCCCCCTTCCTGTCTGAAATCAATAAAAATATATTTTGAGTCCTAGCCGGTTTGGCTCAGTGGATAGAGCATCGGCCTGGTGGATAGAGCATCGGCCTGGGAACTAAAGAGTCCCAGGTTCGATTCCAGCCAAGGGCACATGCCCGAGTTGTGGGCTCGATCCCCCCCCAGTAGGGGTCGTGCAGGAGGCAGCCAATCAATGATTCTCTCTCATCATTGATGTTTCTATCTCTCTATCTCTCTCCTTTCCTCTCTGAAATCAATAAAAATATATATAAAAAATAAAATATATTTAAAAAAATGAAAAGGTATGAAGGCATAGAAAATAACCAGGTAAACCACCCATAGGAAGGGTAATTTGGGTTTTGTGAAAGTTTGGTTCCTATAGCACATACATGTCTGTGCTTTACAAAGTTAAATCCATTTCTTCTGTAAGCCATTCTAAAAAAAAATGAAATGTGAAAAACACTCATCAAGGACAATCCTAACTGAGAAAAATTCAAGAAAGAGGTGTTAGATACCTAAATGACAGATCACTAGTACTGTCCAGAGCCGTGCCTTAGCTAAAAATGGAGAGCTACTAGATTTTAAAAGGGTGAGATGGAACGGGGTGTTCATAATAAAACATAAAACCGGATTTTCACAGACATCTTTGTAAAACTAGTGGAGACTGTGACTCTTCTGTCCAGGTTTAAGTTTGGTATCTCAGCCTGGTACCTAGCAACATGAATATTACTCAGTTTATTAAAGTTCTACTAGGAAGAGGTAGTCTCCAGGATTCCAGGTATCCCTGGAGAGGGATATATTTATATTTAATTCTCTAGCTTCATTCTTAGCTCTTCTTTGTTTTGAGTTCTAAAATTGGTGTGTACGACGTGAATGGTCCCGGGAGAATGCCGGGAAGAGCACAGTTCTTAGAGTCAGAACACTGAGTCAGCTGGTTGGCCGTGGGCAAGTCATGTAACTTGGCTGTGCCACCGTCATTTTGTCTTTGAAGTGGGGACAGTGAGTGACACTGACCTACTTGCTGCATAGAATTGATGTGAGTCAACTGAGATAAATATTTGGAAAAATACTATGTTGAAAGGTTTCCAAGTATAATTTAAGTCCTTCACCGTTTCAAAAAGAATTTGAGGCCACTAAGTGTAAAGATAGGTTTTATTATTATTAATATTTCTGGGCTGTGAACTCTGTTGTCACTTTTCAACCCCAGCTCTGCCACTCAGCTGTGTTCCCGGGCACCTCGAGGCCAACATCCTGAATCATGGTCTTCCATGAGCAGGGAGTTCCCAATAGCCGGGCAATAGAGTGAAGGTCACAGTCATCTGGCCGTTGTACCTGCTGTTCCACGCACAGCTCTCCAGTGCTTGCTTATGTCTCCCCTTCTACAAGCATTCCATTCATGCCATGAGCATTCGGTTCGTTCCCGGCAGTGGGGTAGGGAGCCCGCCAGGTGGATCTAAGTGCAAAGGCAGAATCGCTGCGCTGCTGCAGGGAAGCGAACAGGTAGAAAGAGTCGCCTCCTCTAAGCTGAAACGGTCCTTTTCTCCGTGGGCCCTTCAAGCTGTTCCTGAGACTCCGGTGGGGTAAACCACCGTTGTCTCAGGAAGTTTCCCAAAGGAACGGAAATAAACCAAGGAAGCGAGATGGTTCTTTTCTCACCACACAGCTGGGATGGACGGCTTGGAGTAGTGTGCACTACCGCACTGACTCTCGTAGTAGGTCACACTACAAAAACAAACCCAAGACACATGTTAACACTAAGCTGTGTGCCACCCTGTGCGTAAGAGCAGACAGAATGTGGTAATCACGTGTGCTGATGCGGAAATAGCATCAGGACGTGTTATTAAGTTAAAAAGTCTGTATCCGAACATGTGCAAGCGATTCCTTTTGGTCAATAAATGACTATATATGCAAACATATTTTTCCTGGGAGGAGAAAAAGCATAAACAGTGGTTTACCTTTGGCTGGAAGGACTCGGGTGGTGAGGCGGGAGGTTCTTATTTCTTCAGTGTTTGCATTTTCTAACTACATATAAGCATTATTTATTTATTTCGGTGACAGCAGGTTATTTGAATTTTGCTTTCGGTTTTTTGTTTTTGTTTTTGTTTGGTATTAATGTTATGTCTTTAAAGCACTCGTGTTTGTTAAAGTACACTCTAAAACCATCAAAAAGTCATGAGAATTTATTCATAATAGAAAACATGCCAGCTAAAGCAGTGATATGCATATTCAACAGGCATTAAATGAATATGTATATTTTTAAATCTCCTTTCCATGATCTGCTCCTCCTGCGTTCTCAGATGGCTAACTCTGCACACACACACCCCCATCTCTCATTTGGTTAAATCCATCTGGGGAATAAAGGGCAAAAGACAGGCCTATTTATTAACTTTGAAAAGTAGATAAATAATTAATAGCCCCGGAGTCCCTTTGGACAGTCTTCCTCACTCTCAGTCTCATATATGCTGCTCGTCCTCCTGACATGGCGATAACCATAAATGAAGGTAAAACACAGTCATGATCGTTAACAACCCAATTCTAATTATTACGAGAAAGTACGTTTTCTGAATATGTATGCACAGCCCAGGTAAAAGGAATGGCCGAATGTCCAGACTTTTAAAAATTAAAACTTTGAAAGACTGTAGTAGGTAATGATTCATAAAGTTTTAAAAAAATGGTTGAAAGGATCTCTGGACTTCTCCAGTTAATTATTTTTATTTTAAAATTGTGCTCTTTATTAAATAATGCTAAATGTATAGGCAGATGTGAAACACAGTAGCCAACATTTATTTGTCAAGTTGGTTGACTGAGTCCCAGAGTGCTAGTGATTAACACCATAAGAGCAAGACAGTATCGTAGCTGATTTTTTGTGGCCTGTGGAGCTGTGCTTGGCTAACCCAGACCACAGAGGCTTGCTGTCTCCTTTAACACTAATGAGGTTTGTATGGTCACACACGTGAGCAGCCTTTCAGTACGCCTCTCTGAACTAGGAGGATGTCCAGTTTCCTGCTAGGCCTCTGACCCTTAGCTCAGAATATGTTTGTCTCTATCTCTAAATTATTGACAAATATTATGGAAATAGTAATAGATGTGTATAAACTTCAGCCACAGTTTCAACAATACCGTTCTCATTTTGTTTCCAAGTGTCCACTCTTTCTGTCCTTATCCTTTTTTTCTGGTGATGGCACATGCCCATGGCAGGTCTCTGCTAATAATAAAGTCATACTGCCCTGGCCGGGGTGGCTCAGTTTTTCGGAGTGTCGTCCAGTGCGCCAAAAGGTGGCGGGTTTGATTCCGGGTCAGGGCACATACCCAGGTTGCGGGTTCGATCCCCAGTTGGGGCACTTGTGGGAGGCAACCGTCGATATTTCTCTCACCCTTCCTCTCTATTTAAAAAAATAAAATAAAATAAAGTAAAGTAATACTATGAGCTAACACTAACCAGGCATTGTTTAAGCACTTTACATATATTGTATTATTTTACCTTCTCATCAACCTAACGAGGCATGTACTTTCATGACCCCCCAGCCACTGTGTGGGAGAGCCCTGTGCTCACCCCTGCTCTGCACTGATTTTCTGAAATGGCTGGTAGTAGTCTGAAAAGTGCCCATTGTTTAAATTCCTAGGGGCCAAAAGAAGAAAGGGAAGTAAGTCCTGTAAGTTACTTTTTGAACTTTGCTCTTCTTGTGTGTATGAAACCTTGGTCCCTCCCCTTTGAAGCCCTCGTCGTTAATAGTAGATAAGTGAGCCCATGAAGGACAGGAGAAGGTTTCTCTTGCTCTAGAAGCTCCCACGGGGAGTGCCCGAAGGCTCCTTATCAAAGACGCAGTTCATTTCTCCAGAAGTCCTTGCTGAAGTGCAGCAGGATCCCTAAAAGGGGTCGTGCGCTAAGCGAGGTGTCGTCTCCAGGTTACATCTTGAAATGGTGAATCGGGATGAGTGACTTTTCTTTCCCTGTGAACTGGGGAAGCGAGGTGTCGTCTCCAGGTTACATCTTGAAATGGTGAATCGGGATGAGTGACTTTTCTTTCCCTGTGAACTGGGGAAGCTCCAGACCTGGAGGGCTTGCTGGGTGACATGAAGTCAGGAGGCCTCGCCGGGTTGTTTGGACAACCCCTTGTCTCTGTCTAGTGGGGGATTCTAAGCTGTAAGCCTACAGCAGTGTAGACCCTGGAATAAGAAAGAGGCTTGAGTCGTGTAGGAATTCATACTGCATCGTTCCAGTAGCAGCTCCAGCCAGGTCAGCTGGCAAAG